AATTTTATTCCAAATTTTCTTATTTTAGTTCCATTACGAGTTTGGGGACTAGCCGAGTGACTCCCGTAGTATTTGCACCTATAATTATGGCCTAATACATACTACGTTCCGGTGTCCGCCATCCTGGTTTACAAATTCACATACTACGGGAGTACCTTTAATAATTCGTTTTTGAAAAATATGTTACGATGCTTAGCTTTCGTATACTATATAGAATATGATTTACATATAATCCCAGGGGAGATAATATATATAAATATATTTTGATTGATAAGTATAAAGTTTCATGATCTTGTCGCTTGTCAGTGCATATTGTTTCCTGATTGCTTATAACAATAAACAAAGAATATTGAATAAAAGGAGTACACAAGCAGTGTATATTAGGCATTGGAAGCAATCTTCGACATATGCAAGTTGGTCGCCATGGTTAGCAAACATAAAAGCGATCATTATTTATCTCAATTTGGGAATTCAATTTTAAACCTCCTCACTTTTGTGAAGTGAATATATATGCTTATGCGCTTGTGGAGTAGCTTTCATCATTTTTTTTCGGAAATTCTGTCGTGTGTATATATGGACATTCAAGCATGCCTTATGCTTAACAAACAATATTCTCATATTTGATTTCAATACGTATTTTTTGTATGGAATAAAGTTTTTTGATCGATTTTATTGTACATAAAGTTTGTTGTTTTTTTGAGTCAAATGTTTTTTCTCTGATTGCTTATGAGAACCTAATAAACAGGACATATCAATCAAATGTATACGTTAATACATCGTAAGGTTTTGCATTATGAGACAAAAGTGTCAGTGTCTTAGATTGGGCATAACCTTATTATTTCATAAAAGTTGTTGGTGGGTTTCCAAGGTATTCAGATAAATCAAATGATAAAGGATCATTCAGTTTTAGTAAGGAATAATAATAATAAAATGTTTGTGGAGTTAAACTCAAATTCTTAGAATGAACTCAAAATAGCATGAAAATAATATACTAGGTGTTCAACTCAACAAGGAAAATTCCTTAACTTGGTGGAATTCAAACCAGAGTTTTCAATTAGATTGGTTCAGTAATTTGCTATAAGCTCTTTAAATATATATATTCAGTGAAATATGGCGTCACTCAATTTATTTTACAAATATCTTGAGTTTTGAGTTGTATTCCGCCGTCAGCATCCAAACACTGCGCTTCTCAAACGAAATTTTTATGCTGAATTTTTCAGAAAGAGATCTTTTACTTAAGAATGAACATATTGGTCTACGAGTACCAGTGGTCATCCGCAACCCGGCAATCAGAAAGTACTATTGTACACGAAAAGTGTACTTCAAGAACTGTTGTACACCTCGCGACCCTGGGAGGTATCTGTAAAACAGTGGCGTGGTTTCCATGGTCGAATCGAGAAGTTTACCACACATTTTAAAGTTCGTACATTGCCGTCCTTGCATATCCAACTTTTTACAGCGGTACACTCCAGCGCAATTTTCAGCCATGGGCAATCGAAATTTGTGCGTTCCGCTACATTCCAATAGGATAGGATTGATATATTTATCTCAGGATAGGGGAAAGCCGATAAGCCGGCTTCATCAAAGCCAAGGCCTCTCGTTCGGCTACCAGTCCATTTCGGGTATGGGATTAGTTAGCCAGTTATTTTTTTTCTTCGGATGAACGGAATTGGTGGTGGATGAAGCCGTAACCAACAAGCGGTTACATGAACCAACCTGATGCGGCGGACAACAACCCTCTAGCTCAGGGTTCTCAACTATCTTTACCAAAGATCCGTAAATCAAACTTTAAAATTACTGGGGACCGATTTATCCAGAAATTATATTTCCACACCCTTAAACGCGCACTTCCTCGACCTTACAGTTCTTTTCATATATAGTCAAGTGCAAATATGAGGAAATCATAAAATACCCTTTGAAACTACGAATGTCATTCAATAAAAGAAAACCTTCACATATCCAAAATAAAGAATGAGGTGCAGTCCGATTCAAATACTCGGAAGATCCGGATTCAGTTTAGTAGTCCTGCTCTAGCACATAGGTTTTAAAAGTGCTCCGCACGGAGTCGCAGGGCTTGGGTAATTTAGTAGCTTTCCAAAGAAGCAATAACAGCACTAATTAATAAAATTTGACTGGAGTAGCGTCGAAATACGGCAACTAGGCGGTAATTCAAAAATGACGTTTATCTATAAGCAGGAGAGTAGCCAGAATTTTTAAAAGTGAGGGGGTTTAAAATGGGATATGGGAAATTTCCGGGCAATATTCTTCGCGATTAGGCCACTCGTTAAAAAGATACCTTTTTTCAGTGAATAGCAGGTTTTCTGTCGCGGAAAATATTCAATTCATGCACGATTCGAGCATTTAAATTGTCTTGTCATAATAATTTAATTGTGCTCATCGCTACCTGCCTTTGAGTCGAGAATACTATTACGATTACTAAAATGAAAAAATACGGGGGCTCCCGAAGTATGCGAACCAAGATGGCGGACATCGGAATGTAATATGTGTACTAGGTTAGGCCATAACTTTAGGTATAAATACTACGGGAGGCTCTTGGCTAGTCTTCGAACTGATAATAGGACTAAAATAAGGAAAATTGTAAAAAAATTATGGCCTAAACCTAACCTGTTACCCATGTTACGTTCCGATGTCCGCCATCTTGGTTCGCATACTTCGGGAGCACCAAAATACGATTACTATTCTAAAACCACATAAAAAAAACTGCTAAACTATAAATAGATTGAAATCGTATTTTGGCAATCTTGATATTCGTTAAATTTTAGTCGTTCTTTCAGCACTCAAATTATTTTTAAGCAAGATATCGCCATTACAAAAATCCTAAGATCGGCGTAACCTCAATGAGTACAATCTACAATTGCGCAATCCTTGACCGATGCGGGCATATTTAAAATGCCTTATTTATCGGATTAATTATGTTCAATGTAACCTGCGGTTGCGTCGACTTACGACAATATAAAATCATTACTCGCCAAAGTTAGCACGGCGATATGCAGACATGAAATGAGAAATAATGAAACAAAGTCAAGTAAACGAAGCTCTTGTGGACTTCCGTATATCCTGAACAACGCTTCTATCGTAAGATGTTAGAAGGGATGTCGTACTCCCCACAAAAAAAAACATACCTATTACCGGTGCCGATAGTTGGATTAAGATATTTGTGGCCGTCCAGATAAAATCTTAATCATGACTGATTGTGTGGAAGATTATAGCGATTTAGCGAATACCACAAATTTTAGACGTTCTTGCAACACTGATTCCGCATTAGCTGAGGTATGCCACTCAGATTATTTTTTAAAATTCCAAGATAAGCAAGATAGTCTAGACAAATTACGAAGGATTGAAATTAATTTTTTTCGCAATAAAAAAATTGATCGATAATCTTCACAAATATCTTATATATCGTCACATACCAAGAGAAATTCGTATGTCGCCCCGTCGGTAGTTTCAGAATGGAAGAAAAGTTACAACGCGCGCACAATCAACTGTGTTCCAATTTCTGTGACTACGGTATAATTTTCCTAGAAAACCTATCATAACACCAGTGACGTATCTTTGGCATGGCTCATGCGCCGTTTGAATAGGGGCACAAAAAAGGCGAAAAGTTTTGATAGTAAAATGTTTCAATGAAATAATTTTAAAGTGTAAGTGATTTAAATTCATATTCGTATTTCACTTAAATAATACCGTACAAGTATCTCGATTACAGGTGTTAAGAACGATCATTCAACGATCACGATCATTCAACGATCAAGGGGGCGCATTTTCAAATTTTGTCATGGGCGCCATTTTACATAGATACGCCACTGCATAAGGTTTGTGATTTACAATGTCTAAAAAAGCGTTTTTAATATGTCGCGAGTCTGCTAAAACAATACGTATGGTTTTATCTTCCGCACAGTAACGAAAAAGTAATTATCTTCGTCCCCGTTGAACACTAGATGCACTTGAGAATTTATCTGTGAAATTTAGATTTATTTATGGCTTGTATTAACCGTATTCCAATGCGAAAATGTGCCGGTTAGCCACCAGCTAACTGATCAATCAATTACTCTCTAGGGCAGGAGTGAGCAATTACTTTTCGAGTGGGCCACTCACAAAAAATACATCTGGTTACTGGGCCAGATGCATAAAAACCCAACATGTAAAACTATGAAATAAAACAGTTCATTGACATAAGCCAGGCTGACGTTTATATAATAATAAAAAATACATTCGGGGTCATCGTGATGTTATTTTCATCAGAATTTTATATTCATAAAAGCTATAGTCTTAATTTCAGCAGACACAAATGGGCTATGTGAACACTACAGTGGGCCGGATCCGGCCCGTATTTTGCCCACTCCCTGCTCTAAGAGATGTCGGGGTTACTTACAAGTCACAGCATTGTCATATAAAATATTGTGTCAAATGGCCTTGTTTAGCGTAGAATGTTAAAAACATCCATTTGCATGCTATTCATAGTCAGAAATTATGTTTGAAGTATTACAATCTACATTTTTACTATTTTATCATTCACTATTAATTAAATATAGGGATGGTTTTATGGTCCCAATTGCCATTTTAATGGCCTCCTGCGCACAACGTTCATATTAGGATGACATAAATAACAGCCAATGCGAAGGACAGGATTTTCATACTCTGTTCAGAATGTATAAAATCTGCAGGTAGCTTAATCATATCGTAAACCACCCCCAAATAAAAAGAAATTTTACTCAAAAAAAAAAACAGTAACATTGAGTTTGTAATCAAGATTTTACATCCACATATTCTCGGGTTGATTACCGATCTGTGGAATACAGTAAAAATAAGGGTGTTTTATAACAAAAATGGGCGGTCCAGAAGTGAGTGCGCTAATATGGAAGTATATTCAGTTGGCTAACACAGACAGTCCCCAAACTCGTAACAGAACTGAAATAGGAAAAATCGGAGTAAACTAATGGCATAACGCCCTAACCCTAACCTGGTACACACTACGGGAGTAACCAAAAATGAGACTAAGGCATGTCAGTACAGTGCCTCTGTCTTTATTTATTTGTACCACTCTATTGACAAGTGCTATATTCACACAAAATATGGTAATGTCATTTTCAACTGGTGTCCATCTTTGGATGAAAACATGCCATCTTTGAAATAGATAAGAGAAATGACGTTTTTTCTTTCCCACTGAAAGAGAGAAATAATAGATTATATAAATAGAAAACCAATTGAACTACTTTTATCCAGAGTCAAAGATGACAGGTTAAATATTTTCTGTAGCTTTGACCATTGGGTTTGAGTGGCTACCTGTCGTAACCTGTGACATTAACAATAACATGCTATGGAGTCTATAACTATCGGTAAATGTGAATGCCAAAAAAAAATGTCCGGCGCTGCAAATGTCTCATCTAAATGGAATTAAATATTTTAATTCATCAATATAAAACATACGCTCAACCCAACTCACAATTAATTGGAAAAATATCAATGTACAAGAAGCCCAGTTTCTCAGACACAAGCAAGCCCTACATCATGGAATCGCTATTATACTGATAATCATGTCATAATTTAAATAAAAACTATATCCTAGAAAATTGGAAAAAATAAAATCCGTCATGAGAAACAGAACAGCCTGAGTCAGATTTTGAGTGGGGGATAAAAGGGCGTATCATTTTAATAAAGGTTGATAAGCATTGATTTAAACCCATACCCAACATGAACTTGTAACCACATTGAAGGCTATGATTAAGACGCTTTAGCTTCTTTCCCATTCCCAGATAAATATGGAATTTCTATCTGGTATGATTTTCATTCAATGCGACTGCCGACTGCTGCCCTCAACTACTGTATTATAAAAATTGTGTCCAGACAAAATAAACTACTAAAGTGTAAACCTCATGGTATATATATATATGCATCTTTCAGATTTGTAGAATAGCAAACACTCATGCTCACCTTAACACATTTCATTCAGTAATTCTGTTCTGTTGAGAGGGGTTCCTCTCGGAGGGGAAAATTGGAAGAGTTGATTACCATTAACTTGAGAATAAATTTCTTCTAATTCTAGGCTTAGTCATGAGGTTTTCTATTTTTAAAACCCTTTACCAAAACCTATGTATCTGTAATCTAACCTGTATCTGACAAGCAGTTTCAATGACTACTGGTAACTAATAAAATAACTTATTACTCGTATCAATACTACTAGAACTTACCTAATCAGAAGTGAGCCTTAACTTTTCATGACGCAACAGACTCTAGAAGATAACTCGACTTTTACCTAAACTTAGAAAACTTAAACGATGATTCTTGTGTGTTAATCTCAATCATTTTTAAAGTTTCACATTATTTTTGTGATTTTATCTCATTACCGGCGACAATCATCTTAAACCTAACTAACTATATATTTATGAATATATATTCTATACATGTATATTTACTTGAATATAATATTCATTACTATTCGGGTGACTCGCCAATACTGTTCGTAATCCTGTTTGTATTGCTTTCAAATTATTGTTATTCTAACAGCTGATTCATGAAAAAGCCTTCCACCCTATATTCTGCGTCTTGTCAATAACATATACGGTATATGTCTTATCTGGCCATTTTTATGAGATCTTACCTACTCACTAACAACATACAGACTTCTGGACAATGAGATGGTTTGTGGTTTAATGTTAGGGTTAGAAGAACTGATAATTGCAGTGTACAGGTGCCAACAGGCAGTAGTTAGCTATGTGTAGAGCATACCCATGTCCTAGATATTTATATGTATTCGTATATTATTAATATCGAAGAACTGCCAGGGCAACTGAAAATCAAACTCATAACTCAAGCGGTCTTGTCCCCCAGAAATCTGTAGAATTACTATATCAAATAATCGCTCCAGTATTCAATAACATACCATTGAAATCAGTATCCTGTTTTCAAATTGTATCGAATCTTTTACAGATAGTTATAGTGAATTATTTTGGTAATCAAGTGTTTTTTGCCCACCTCTAATTCCTAACTATGCAATATTCTGATATTAGCAAAAGCTTACTTACAGTTTCTCTGTATCACAGTCCTTTTCTGCCTCTGCATGGTCTTTCACAGTTGAGTATGACCTAGCAGCAGGATGACCCGACCCGCCTCCGTATTCCAGTTTTCAGAATCACTGTCAGTCATGTTGATGTAAGAGTGTGTGAAGTGCGAAATGATGTGATGGCCGCTTGCAATATAACTTTACCTGAAAACCGAGTTCAAATAATCAATAATCCTTGAATTGAATAAAATTAATGAATTTAAGCTGGTATCAGCCTATCATTTGTCAATATTAAATTAATTTCTCACAAAACTGCAAAATGCAGAGATACGGTGCGGTACCTGGAAATTGAGCATAACTCGGAATAGGATTTACATATTTATCTCGGGGGAGAGGAAAGCCGATAAGACGACCGATATGGCGAACCACGGCCTCTTGTCCGGTTACCAGTCCAGGTTGGGTATGGGATTATTTAACCGGGTTTTTTTTTTCGGAAGCATGGACTTGATGGTAGAGGAAGCCGTAACCGACCAGCGGTTACGTGAACCACCCGCTGGAGTCCAGCAATTCTCTCGCACATAATCATCCCCGCATGGGATTCGAACCTGCGAACCCACGCAAGGTAATCAGAGATGCGGTGGCAAGCGTATTACTAACGCTTAGCACGATGCGCCAAACCGCCGAGCCATTAATTTTAAATTTTTAAAATATAAAAGAAGGTCTGTATGTGCTAACTAACCTACCAACAACAAAAAATGCAAGCACAATTTCCAAAACAAAATAACTTTTGATCTAAACTTTTGCTTTAGCCCAATAACCCATTTATTTATTTATAAGCTCTTTACAATTAGCCACTTGGATCAGTGGATGGTGGGACTACCAATCGGCGGGTCTCGTGTAGTTTCGTACCTAACGTACTTCTAGTAGGCGTAGCATAACAATTTTTTGACATGCTAATACTAACCCTCACCTGACTACGCCATCCAAAATTTACGTCCAAATATACGCACGATCGACCGGAATGGCATTGGCGCCAACGATAAAGAACTGACTGACGTTATCGGTCTCTCTCCTATTGGGGTTAGGATTGATACTTGAAAAAATTGTCATGCTACGCCCACTAGAAGTACGATATGTTAGGTAAGAAACTATATGAGACCCCAATCGGCTTACTGGCTTAAAACAGTACTGCAGTACCGGTACGGTAGCAGCACGATCCATATTTTTGTATTATCAGTAACACCAACAAATTATATCCAAATATCAATGATACCGGTACCGTATTTTACTCACATTTGTATTCATCTCTGAATTACGGTGCCGGTACAGACTTATGAAAGGTCAAATAGTGATGCAGCACTTCATCCATTTTCGGTATTGTTAGGCTCTTCCACGTTATGTTTATATCGGGTTATCTCTAATAGCTTTGGTGGATTGATTTGTAATTAACTTGTGCCGGTACCGTACTTGTTACAGTGTCCATCCATTAATCAAAACATAACACGCACAGATGAACTAGTAAGAATAAAATGAAAATTCAGTAAACTGTAAGAAGACCTTTGACCCTAACTTATAGTTGCCAACTGTTACAGGTACAGTATATACATTTTAACCTAAAACATACCTTAGGCTTAATCAACTACTAGAATCTAGAGACCTATTCATGACTTTATATTTTAGTGCGTTATAACAGTTTTATGACATTCCAAAAACAGTTCCAATCGAAAACGTTATTCGAGCACCAGTCCATGTCGGATACCGTATGCCCGTATGGGGTTAGTTGGCCAGTTAATTGTTTCAGAAGTATTGACTTGGCGGTCAAAGAAGCCAATCCGACCAGCGAATGAGTGAACCATCCTACGGGACAAGGAGTTCAGAAATCCTCTCGCAAATCATTATCCCACTCGATTTTTAAGCCTGCGAACCTACGCAGGGCAGTCAGAAGTGCGTACGGTGGCGAACGGTCCTAACAATTAGCACGATACGCCACACTGCCGAGCCAGTGGTCGGAAAACGTTATGAAAAATTAGCTCAAGGAGTTTGTTGATATTCACTCATTCTCCCACACCTGGACTAACAACATGCACATGAGACAGGGTGACTGTGATCACAAAACAGTATCGCACCGGTAGGCCAGTACAGTAAGGCTACAGTATCTGTACAGGCTTCCATGTCTAGGACAATTATGTATTGTACACGGATGTCATATTCAGCACGGATATTATTGTTGGACCCAATCATTATACTCCATTTTGTCATACACTTATTCTCATTAAATTATGGTTATGTTTCCAAATAAATTTTTATATGCTGTCAAATCGAATTGTTGCAAGTTGTATGTGTTATTAGTAATCAAGGCTGGGGCTCTGCTTCAGGATAGGATTTACATACTTATACTAGGTGAGGGAAAAGCCGATAAGATCGCTTAATCACATGGCGAATTACGCCTCTCTTCCGGTTACCAGTCCATGTCGGGTATGGTATCAGTCAATTAGCCAGGTATTGTTTTTAGATACATGCACTTGATGGGGGGTTAGAAGCCGTTACTCATCAGCGGTAACGTGAACCAACCAACGACAGCGAAAAATCGAGCAATCGCACGAAATTATCCACGCATGGGATTCGATTCCAACCTACGCACCTAAAAAGTTTCTTGTGCTGCATTTGTCAAAACTGGCAAGTCTACGACAAGATAGGAACTTCACTTACACGAATCAATCATATGTCGGTCGTATAACACCTTTCTGGAACTCTTACGCACTTGAGACTTTGGTGCCATATATATAAAAAGTAATATTAATGTAACGAATGTCCTATGGTATCTGAAATTGAATACGTTTCAGTATACATGTCTTCATGTGAATCGATTTCCTTGTTTATATCCGTAACAATGAGCAACCATGAGATAAACAATGACAATGACATTTGCTCCGTTTTCGGTGTTTGCGTGTCACTTGTCAGTTTTTAATTGTGTTTTCAAAATCTAGTTCTGAATCAAATAACTTAATATTCATAATGACTTCCAATGAGCTTTAGTTTGGTTATGATAATCAAAAATTAATCTCGCAAACGCTGCTGCATACTAGCCCAAACTGTAAGCTGCACGTGGTCAAATAGTTTTAATAAAAAAATGTTTTTGAACATGTATACCAGATTTAGGCTTACCATACGTCCCGATTTAGGCGGGACAGTCCCACTTTTGAACATCTTGTCCCGGCGTCCCGACCGGTCAGCCAAAAGTCCCGCTTTGGCGTTGAGCCAGCCAGTCAGCACGATACACGAACATTACCAATTACTGAATGTGGATGCGTGGTTTTGTTTGTTCCGTTGTTTTAATCACTACAATTTGTTACGTGTAAGCTCCGTACGCCAGAAGGGTGCTTAACGTTAACGTAAATTCCTCTCTATTTTTTGAACTGTAACCGATATTCAGACAGACAGCGCATCAACTCTAATGTCAAATCGGTACATTTGAAATTCAAAAAATCACAGCTATGGTCTTTGGAGGCGTCCCTCTTTGGGGTAACAAAAATATGGTAACCCTTACCAGATTGTAAGCGTCAACTCTCGGAGACGCTCTCGAAATAAAAATAAAATTATCGCAATAATGAAGTATGTAAAGAATTTATTCGGGGTCAATGTTCGACGAAACATCCATTCACTGTTATTGAGGCCTAATTATGAATAATTCGAATGAATTTTTAAAATAGTTCTTATGCCTACGAACATTTATTGAGGTTCAAGATGATACTTGCGAAATTTTATTTTAATCGGCCAACATTGAGGTCTACTATCGAAGATTCGTCTATGGACGGAGGTGACAACAAGAAAGCAATGCTCCGATATATGGACACGAAAGCCAATACTCACGATCCTATCACAGGAGAGATTTTGATCGCCAGTTTTAGCAAATTAAAATTGTTTGTCGGAAGTTTAAGTTCAAATATTTCGTCCGAAGTCAGGCAATGCTATGGCAATTCAAATTTTTTGTCCTAAGTTGGGCAATTCGATGGTTCTGGTGAATGGAATTTCAAACCAGACATTTAATATGCTTGGCGCTTACGGTATCAGAACAGGAATCTTTCATATTTCCCCTGTTTATATTTCAGCAATAGTCTTGTTTCTAAAGCTTTCCTTATAACAATAAAACTCGGGACTTACTTTTACCTCAGTGCCGTGTTTTTAATTTTAATGACATCATCGAATACAAAAATACGAATTCCATGAATTCATGAAGTACTGTAAATAAAAGCGACAACCTACTAGCCAAAAATACAATCTTCACCCACTGAAAATTTCAAAGCAATTTATACAGTAATTGAGTAGATAAGGACGAGAAGAAAAATACCAACGAGAAAGATAAGGACAAGAGCAACAACAACATAATAAGGAAAATCATCCACACGTCCAATCCTGGTCTGTCTAAAATCTAAATAAACTGACAAAAGTGACAAGTATAAACGATTGTATACTGATGATGTTGATGAACATTGTAATAAAGATAGTGTGTTAAAACAGTAAATTAACAACAAATAGATAGAGAGTAATACTATTATTTATCGAATTATTTTGTTTCACATATACATTAGAAAAGGGTTTTGTTTAGCTGAGTCACCTTCACTATTACTGAACTAAAGATACTTTTCGTCGCTATGGCTTTCACAATTCGCTTTTCAAGTTTCAAGAATTCCGCTTTCGCTCAGAATAAGGACATATACAAGTAGCTAGTTTTATTCGGAAGAACCGGAAAACATCTGGTTTGACTTTGTCAACTCAATTTATTACACGTCACGGAGAAGGAGATTCATTGCACGCAGGTTAAGATGGAGGCTTGGGACTTGAACCCAAACTGTGTGTGCAAAGTGTGCCGCGAAAATTAACAGAATTGTATTGAACATAACTAAAATATGATTGAATACACATGCAGCTACTTTGATTCGGAACAACTGGGAACTTCTGGAAGTTTTCCTCTGAATGGTCACTTGAATTGCAAATAACCATTATGATCAATTAATTTTGCGACTGTGTTAAATATTTATTTCCAAATGATTAAACGAGAACAATAAAGATATATAGTGTTGTAGAGTTAAGAGGTTCTACAGGTCCTATTTCTGATTATTGGGCTGTCTTGTCAATCTACTTCCGTAGCTAACTCTCGACACAGTAGTAACGCACACATAAACACATCCAACTTGTATGAAAGAACTTGTAATGAAAGTATATTTACAGTATATACAAGTCACAGTCCGGTAAAATTCCACAACCGGGTTAAAAGTTCCACAGTAGATAGATAAATTTCCACAGCAAGTATAACGGCAGTGTAACACAGTGAATGTAAAAACTTGATGTCTGTATGTAAATGTATTGTATGTGTGTTGTATGTGTGGTTACAATATATTTGTGTCTCCAGCCCAACAACAGTACTTAAATTTAGCTACAAGACACAAAAACAATAAAGAGTATAATTAGCCTTCGACATACAACTCAATTAGAACCTATGTTACTAAATAACCCTAAACATCTTAACAATTCTAAATTAGCATAATCAAAACCCTACAATTTGCAACTCAATGCCGCAAAGTAATCGCAGCTACTAATCAGTAATCAGTAGTTTATTTCTCACCATACTTAAAATAGGCACAAACATACAAATTGCAATAAATTAAATTATAAATTGGCCATATTTCAGGGTGAAGGAGACGCGAGAAACCAATACTGGTTATCGAGCAGCGGCACCTATAAAATAAGTCTAACACTATAATATAAAAAACAAAAAAACGAACTAAGTTCAAATAAATTGAGGAAAAAAATACATGAAATATCTCGAGACGATCTGCTGTAACCAGCAATCGCTCGCTTCAACCAAAGTGACTATAATAGTCACTTAGGCTTCAACAAAAGAAAAGACAACTCCGAACACCACTGATTCGGTAGCCATGGAGATGGCGTTAGTGTATTGTATCACAACAATACTATTGTGATGCCCATTAGCTAACAATGGGCAATAAATGTCAAATTCTGATGGCGCATGGTTATTGGTTACAGTGGAACCCATGGTTTGTTGAGGGCGACAACAGGATCACCAACGAATAAACCATACCTTTATGCTAGAAAGGAATTGAGGTACCTGTTAATGGGATCTAGTGATTGGCAGCTGGAGTCAGGGCTTCACATAACGTTACAGGAAATATAAAATCAGGGAAGACATGAAATACCAAAATGTGAAAGATATTCCATAACAGTCATTCAAAACGAATGTAACCTAGTATCAACATTCACAGTGGGAAACTAGATAGACTACAAGACATGAAACAGCAAAACTAAGAAGAGTCAAGTACCGTAGTCTAATAGTTGAGTGAACCAATGAAGCAAAGTTTAAAAGTACATAAAAAAATATTATTTATCAGGTAATACTTTTACAATGTTATATAAGAGTATAATGACAATCAGATAAACAATTTAGGCTTTACTGACTGCAAGAGAAAACAAGTCACAATGTTATGCTAATTAACCAAGATCTTGAGCAGATGGGCTTAGAATTTC